TGTTATATTATATTATATTATATATATATATATATTAATCGGGATCGGGGCGGGGCGGGGATTGCATTCCCCATCCCCGTCCCCGAACCCGATCGGGGATTTTGACCTCGATCCCGCCAAAGTACCCCCCATACCCGACCTTGTTAGGTCGGGGAACCCAGGTACTCGTCAGGGATGGGGAAAATTGCCACCCCTAAGCCAATCCTGTTGTTGTTGAAGACATGGGTTGCAAAACCTTAACTTCTAATCGGATGTCTTTCCTCAACCCCCCAATGCAGCATCCCACCAGAGCCTTCTCCGGCCAACCATAGAATCTAGTACCGAGCTTCAAAAATTCTATTTGATAATCATGAACTGTCCCTGTACGTAGTTTTGAAAGCATTTTATCAGTCGTTGTATCTTGTTCCAAACCTGATGTAGAGGGCTCAATGCAATGATTCCTCATTCTCTCAAGTGGAGGGGACCAATTGACTGGTTATCCGATGCACATGAGCTGGAGCTCCTTGCTTCTTGTTCTTAGGTAAGTATGAGTAATAAGGGCATAGGGCCACGGGCTTGTGATAGGCCATGGTTCCCAATACACCACTGATCCCAAGCCTTCTACAGGAGGGTTGGGTTAGGTTGGCTGTTGGCATTAAAAATTTTGTCAAACCCTATGGTCATGGATCCTGAATAGAGTGGAATGTTTAGGTGGGATTCATGTAGACTAAAGAAGTTGAAGCGGTAAGAGATGATTTGAAGACTTGCAATTTGGCAAAAATCCTGGCTCTTGATAGATCAGAATGGTGGGTCTGGAAACATGTAGCCGATCCCAAGTAGTTGGAATTGATGCTGAGTTTAGTTAGTCCGAAGAGAGTGAATAATTGGGACATAAAAAGTTCTTGATCCACTCTTTCCCTTGCTCCAGTCATCATACTCGGATAAGTGCATTTACCCATGTTCTTTTATTTCCTAGGTAAATAAGGCAACGACTGTTTTAGCCATAAAAAGCCATTATTAAATGGGGCAATTTTGTCCCATTCAAGTGTTGGCAACTTTCCCCCCAGTTGGGAAAGTTACTTAACCACCCTGGGACTGGGAGATGGGTATTAATTACCTGGGTAAGTGATACCCATGGAAAATAAATTTTCCATGGACCTCACATAAAACTGAAAAAAGAGCATGGGTATCGTGGTCAATGGGAACCAAAATCCCATTGACCAACTTTCCACCCTCTCCAAAATCCAAAAATTGAACTGGCCTTTAGTTGAATTCTCTAATCTTTTTTATCATTTATATTGAAGGTCATGACGAACTCTGCTTTAGTTGTTTGTTTAAACCTCTTTTTTTCTGTCATCCATTGGGAATAATGCAATTTTATGATGATCACTTTCTTCCCAAATTAATTGGGGTCAAAAAGACATTCGCTTCCATGATGATTTAGCCTTCAATTTCTGGAGCTCCTGGACTCCAAAATGTTTTACTTTTATTTATCATTGTTTGGATATAAAATCAGAAAATATATAAAGTAAATTGTATTGCAGATGCAAATCTTAAACTTTATTTTGGCAGATTTGTTTACGAGGGGGATAGATATTCAAGCAGTCAATGTTGTTATAAACTTTGATTTCCCAAAGAACTCAGAGACATATCTTCACAGGGTATGTAAAATTATTTGTCTGGTATTTTGTCCATTGGCCATATATTGGCTTTGCTGATGAATTTTACTTATTCAGGTTGGTCGATCAGGTAGGTTTGGACACCTTGGGCTGGCTGTTAATCTGATTACCTATGAAGACCGCTTTAATTTGTATGTATATTGATTCTCTTATTTTTTGGATTTTACTAAACAGATGAATCCTTTATTTTCACTCTGCTCATTTAACTTGCTTTTCAACAGGTATAGGATTGAGCAAGAGCTTGGTACAGAAATAAAGCAAATTCCTCCACACATAGACCAGGCTATTTACTGCAGGTGACCTGTGATAGTAATCTCGCTGTGATCATCAATGGTGAGTAAAAGCAAAGATCTGGCTACGTGTACATACAGAGGCTTATGAAGTAAGTATTTAGTATCTAACAAATATCTTATTTTAAAACAAATGTTACAGTTGGACACTTTGATATGCTTGACCAGCGACCCTAGGTCCCTACCAAACTCAGCAACTCTAGATTCTGGGATATAGACCTCTAGGTTCCTAAAAAGTCTCTTCATTGTAGAGCTTGGGCTGATGTGTTCAATGAAATGGTCAATCCAGATATTTTTGGTAGATTGGTATTCTGGATTGATCAGGCTGGTACTCAACTTTATAGACAATGAAACTTCCAAAATTTTTGGAGTATCATCCACAATCTTTATTTTTTTGTTTTGTTACATCGCTGTTTTCTGTAATACATATGAATGTATATCATTCTTCTATTAGGAGTTATTAATAGCTGTCTATACTTGTTTCCTATTAATACCTATGTTTGGGCTGTAAGCTGTTTTCATTGCTATGGCATGGTGTGCTTATGTTGCGCTAGGATTTGTGTTGATCCAATAGCTATGTAATGATGTATGCGGTAATTCTTTGGGGTTTGGTGCTGAATACCATCATGCTTTAGACATACTTCTTATCGGGCTTCTAACTATTTGTTCTTCTGTGGCCGGCTCTAGGGTTGAATAATCTTTCCTACTATGAAGATAGCTGACTGCATTTGAGCGATTATCTTGAAGATGGAGTTATAGAAAATGCAAGTGTCTGCAGACTATTTGTTCTCGTATTTCAATTCTCTGCTGTTCGAAGTTAGTGGATTTTCATAATTCTATACATTTGCTAGGTCGAGAGAAGAATCTTTAGAATGGTTTATTGATCCAGAGTGTTGGATTTTGTTATGTTGATACTTGTTTGTCCAAAGTATTATTTGCACACGGCACATGGTTTCATTACTTTCTTTTAAGATATCCCAAGTTAACATTTCTCTAATTTCACGCGGTTAACGTCTTTGAAGAGTCATTTTCTTTTCTCTATATCTGCCAAGTCTTGGGGTTTGTTTGGTTCATGGTAATAGGGGTGGTCTGGAATTGGAATCGGAATTGTCGATTATTTGGTTGGGTGGAATCGACAATTCCGATTGGTCACTACTTCCCCACTTGTGAATGAGAATCCATTCCAGTTGATTCTTATTCTTCCGTCTAAATCAATCAGGCTGGAAGAATAGGTCATTTTGATTCCCCAGTGGATTTTGATTCCGGTTCCGATTCCAACCTGAACAATCATGAAGTTACAAACCACCCAAATCCTCATGGGAGCCGGTGCATGGACCAAGTGTTTCTTCGGCTAAAAAATTCAGAATGATCGTGATCTTTTCACAAAGAAAATAGTGGTTGATGTTTGGGCAGCTTTATTCTAATTCCTCCCTCCATTCACATGGATAATGTACAATCATGGTCAAGGTTCAAGGTGTTTAAATTGGCTCCCTGAACCGGTTTTGAAAAATAAAAAATAAAAAAAAAGTAAAACAAAGGTATTGATATTGCCCAATACGCCAGTAGGGGCGTATGAACCTTGATCACGGTTAAAAAAATAGGGTTCGATTATGATGGGGTGCTTTGATTGGTCGAAGTTCCTCTGGACTACGTCTTTTTGGTAGCATTGGTATTGCATAAAAATGTATTGAGATATACTTAAATGTATGGATATGCAAGGTTCAAAACTGGTTCAGGGGAGCCGGTCTAGGACCCCTCCATCCCCTGAACCGGTCAGACCTCCGATACACCCACAGTGGGTGTATCGGAAGGGTTTCAGAACGATACATATCGACCGATACGGGCCGATATGTAACGATACTTTGAACCTTGTGGATATGGTAAGAAAATTATGATACACGGATATGTTGATGAAATTCATATAAATCTTCAAAACACATTTTAAAATTTTCCAATTGGGGGACCTTCGTGATGCATGAGCTATGATAAGTAAAACTAAAGTGAAACTAAAACGTGCAGAATATGTAATTAGTATTGTAATCAAGCCTAAGTTATCTAAGGTATCATCAAAGCATTTGTATTTGGTCTGAACTCTGAAGAGATGGTGTAGCTGATACTTAAATCATGGAGGCCGCCAACAGTCTGGCGGTGGAATAATATGGGATAATGTGATTTTCTGGATAATATGCTTATTATCCAGCATTTGGGTAAAAGCTTATCTCTTCAAAAGTATGTGCTCTACTACTACATTGTTTATCTTCTTTCATTTCAAAATTAAAGCTAGAAAATGTTACTCTTTCTTCTAGAAATTACTTATGAAGAACGAGCTTAATTAGGAACTGGGGCAGATGTACACATGTTAAACCTTCTTTACTTGTCACATGTTAAACCAAGGGGGCGTCTTTTTTTTTTGGATTTTGAGAAGGGGCAAAGTTGGTCAATGGGATTTTGGTTCTCATTGACCAAGAATCCCATGTATGTGGGGATTAGGGAAAGTTTATTTTTCTGGGTATCATTGCCACAAGTTTGGGTTGTTGATTCATTCTTAGTTCTCTACAATGACAACCTAGGTGGGTAAATAACTTTCCCACCTAGGGGGAAAGCTGCCAACACTTGAATGACACAAAAACGACCCTTTTAATAATGGATTTTTATGGCTAAAATGGTCAATTGCCTTATTCACATGAGAAATAAAAGAACATGGATAAATGCATTTACCCGGGTAAGTGTTTCATAAGAAAAACTTACCTAGGTAATTGCATTTACCTGGGTAAGTAACTTACCAAAAAGCAAACGGGGCCTTAATGCTTTGTAGTTTGAACATTAATCATGGTTTTTTATGGCTAAAATGGTACTTTGTAAATTTTTGGGTGTTACTTACCCAGGGGTAAGTTGCCAACGCTCAAAATTACCCCTTTTAATAATGGCTTTTTTTGGATAAAATGGTCATTGCCTTGTTTACCCGGGAAATAAAAGAATATGGGTAAATGCACTTACCTAGGTAAGCATTTCCTAGGAAATACTTCTCTGGATAAAAGTGCATTTACCCGGATAAATAACTTTCCAAAAAGCAAATGGAGACTGAGAGTATGAGTTCCTCTCTACAGTAACATAAGATACTGGATCGATCATGAAACACCATGTAAGTTTGACATGTGTTATTAAGATTTGCCTAGTATTTGTTGTAGAACTAGTGTATAGAGGATTCCAACTCTCGCCCAACTCAAGGCTTAGCCATAGTCCACTGTGGCTCCAATGTGGTGGATCCCTAATTGCTGAACTACAGAACATTACCTTGTTTATACGGTATAAATCATACCATGCGCCAACTAAGGCTGAGGGAGAGACACTAGTAATTAGGGCAAATTTCTTAAACTACCCTTAAGGTTTAGGAAATTGACTAACTATACCCCTACTGTTTTAGTATTGTCTTAAAGTAACCCTATTGTTTCTGACAATTGTCGCACAATTCCCTTCCCGTTAAGTCTTAGTCATAGGCCATTTACACGTGGCTTCACCTATTTGATTTAATTTTTTTCCATACCACATCTTTTTCGCATCATAGATTTACCCAAAATATCCTTTCTAGTGAAGATCACCATCTTCTCTACTCAAACTAGCGGTGGGTAACCTTCCATCATCCTCCCCTCCTACCTCTCTCTCTCTCTCTCCTTTCATATACTCAACGATATGGAAACATTCATTCCTAGACTGGTGCACACAACAACCTTTGAGCCAACTGGACCACCTAAGACATGGCACACCTGTATTTCCCATGGCTGCTCGTCTCTCTCTCTCTAGTGCATCCATTGATCGCATTTTCTTAGTCACTATAAGCCATGGAGCATCTCGTGAAATTCCAGCCTTTAGAACCCATTATTTGGGAGAGAGAATGGTCACCATCGCCGAAGCACCTAAAAACAAGCAATGATACCCGACCAACCACCGTGGGACAAAGAAATCAAGCTCATGAGTAAGGTTTAAAATTTCAATACGATACGCCCGATACGAGCCATATTGTATCTTTTAAAAATAGATACAGGATACGCATAGAAATCGTGCATATCATCTTTTTTCATGCGTATCGGACCCGAATCGGGGGTGTATCAGAGGTGTATTGGGGCGTACCGGGGGTGTATCGAGGCGTATTGGTAGCGTATCGATGTAAAAGATACAACCAAAAACTGAAAAAAAAAATAAAGGGGAAAAGTAAGCTTCTTTTCCCTGAAATAAGCCTTCTTCCCCCATCTAAAACTCCAAACCTCATTCCTAGAGTGCTAGATTTGAAAAAAAAAATTACATGAAACAAGTTTGAATAGTTAATTCTTTTTGAAGATTTTTCAAATTAAAAAAAAAATATATGGTAAAAACAGGTAAATTTTTTCAATTTTTTATAATTTTTTTTTCTTGGATGTTATGTCAATCTACATTTCTTACATTCGAAATCATATTTTTTTTTGTGTTATTAGTAGATTTATGGAAATTTCATGAAGATATTTGGGGTAAATGTAAATTAACAAAAAAATTGAAAATGTAATTTTTTCTCTTCCTACAAAGACTAAATATGTTTTAGATCTATGGATTTATCTATCATATCCATAGAGCAATTGAAATTTCTTCTTTAATATATTTTGATTTTTTATATTTTTAGAAAAAAATAAATAATAATTAATTATATTTTATCATTTGATCACAACAATTGAATATATTATAATTCTATAGATGATCTATCATATCCAGAGACCAATTGAAATTTCTTCTTTAATAATTATTTTTTTTATTTTATATTTATAGAATTAAAAAAAAAAAAATAATTAATTATATTTTATCATTTGATCACAATGGTTGAATATATTATAATTATATTGATGATCTATCATATCTACAAAGCAATTGAAATTTATTCTTTAATAACTATTTTTTGAATTATATTATATAATGTTTATTTATTTTTTATATTTTTTGAAAATAAATAATAAATAATAATTATTTAAATAATAAATCATTATTAATTATATTTTCACTTAGAAGTTGTGCTAATGCATATTTTATGGTTGGATAGGAGAGCTGGGTTCTTCCCATCCCATAAAACATTAAAACTTAAGAATTATAGTTAAGCATATGATTTTTAATGAAATAATTAACTATAATATATTTCTTCATAAAACCATTAAAATATATTAATTTAATGTATATACACCTCATTGAGGTCTAGCTGGTGTATTTTTATGATTTATTAAGGTATTTATAGTATTTCCAAGTATATCTATGCATATCTTAGTTTTTCTCCGATATGCATACATATCCAAGGCGTATCTTAATACGTCTCTTAAAATTGCCTTTCCGATACTTTGAACCATGCCCACGAGAAAGAGAGAACAGAGATAGGAAAACACTTTGTCAAATCCACAAGAAAGAGAGAACGAGGATGAGAGAGAGGTTGTTATCAAATCCGCTGCTGCAACTCTTAGCAGTGGTGGCAAAATAGGGGAAGTGAAAGAGGAGAGAGAGAACTGTAGTCATCTGAAGGAGCTCAGATCGGACCGTCGCCACTGGTTTGCCGTTGTCTCGAATCAATTTAATGAGTCTCGCTGCTCACTCTCTCACCTCCTCTCTCTCTCTCTCTCTCGTTGTATGTGGAACAGGAAACTCCATTTTAAAATGGAGGCACATTGTACGAATTTTGGAATTTTATCGTACTTCAGTTAACGTGTTTTTGGGTTTGTTCAAGAAGTGCTTCATCGATTTCATATCTTCGTTGTCATAAAAATAGAAAGCTATCTGTTTAGAGCTTGAAATTTTTGACTTTTGGTGGTTCTCTTAAGGGATTTTTTTAGCGGGTGGATAATTGACCTGAATCTTGAGTTCTTTTTGGTGGGGAGTGAGATTGGTACTATTCTCCGAGATGGGTTTGCTTCCTTTTGTTTAGCTTTCCAATGAAAAAGCAGTGGAACTTGTTTGATTGGGTTCTTTTGTAATGAGTAGAAAGCGGAAGAG